TACTGTCCGCCACAGGGCCCCTGGGCACGGAGTGGGCGTGTCCTCAGGTTCTTTGCCAAATCCTCTAAGCCTCAATCCTCACTCCTGCGGAGTCTTCAAAAGGCCCGGACCATGAATTCCGAAATCTTTTGGGGTTGCGGTTCCCCTGGGCCTCGTCACATCGTGTCGCGTGACTTTTCCGAGCCCCCGAGGGCCCCCAGGCGGGCCCAAAGGGCCCCAAGAGGCTTCGAAGAAGGCCCAAAAGGGCCCCGAGTCGCCGAACGGTCGCCCCAAGACGCCCAAAATGGCCCCAAGACGGTCTAAGAGGCCTCCGAAACCCTGAAGACGGCTCAAAGACGGCCAAAAGCCTCCCAAAATGGCCCACGGCCCAAGAGGCGCCCCAGCCGGCCCAAGTAGGCCCCAAGACGGCCCCAAGAAGGGCCCCAGAAGGGGACCACGAAAACTGACAATTTCAGGCTTCCGCCTCAAAAGGCTCCCCATGAGGCCCCAAGGAGGCCCCAAGAGGCGCCCAGGAAGAAGGCCACAAGAGGCCCCCAAGAGGCCCCAAGAGGCCCTACAGCGGCCCCCAAGAGGCCTCCAAACTGTCTCCAAAAAACCTCCGAGGTGCACACCACGAGATACCAACGAACATCCAATAGGCTTCATACCCAGAATCCAGGGGGCGGGATGTGCCGAAGGCCATTCGATGAGTCGTAGCAGTACTAGTAGCACTAGTGGTACCACTATTAAGATTGCACGACAGCAAACACTACTGCGTTTACAGCTACGACTACACGGAGTATTCCTACGCCTCAAAGTTCGATTATTACTACCACAACTACAATTACAACTACAACTACAAACACACTTGCAACAACGACTACGACTACTACTACTATTACGGCCACTACTACTACTACTACTACTACTACTACTACTACTACTACTACTACTACGAGTATTACGATTACTACTACTACTACTACTACTACTACTAGTACTACTACCACTACTACCACCTCTACTACGATTACGACTACGACTACGACTACTACAAGTGATAATAGTAGTACTACTACTACTACTACGACTACGACGACGACTACTACTACTACTACTACTACTACTTCTACTACTACTACTACTACTACTACTACTACAACTACTACTAAAACGACTGCGACTACGACTACAACTACGACCAGGCAGTAGTACGACAACGATTACATACGCTACGGTCGCAACTACTAGTGGTGCTACCCACCGTAGCCGAACGTACTACGTGGGATGACGCACTGGCGGCAATAGTCTTAGTCGTGGCAAGAAGCAGGAATACGGAGATTCAGTATGGGGCTACGACTCGAGATGTCATACTTGTGAATGAATGAGATGTGGCCTGTGCCGTATTAGTGGAGTCGTAGTAGTCGTAGAAGTAGAAGTAGTAGTAGTAGTAGTAGAAATAGTAGTAGTAGTAGTAGCAATAGTAATAGTAGTAGTCGTAGAAGAAGAAGTAGTAGTAGTAGTAGTAGTAGTCGTAGTCGTAGTAGTAGTAGTAGTAGTAGTAGTAGTAGAAGTAGTAGTAGTAGTAGTAGTAGTAGTAGTAGTAGTAGTGTAGTAGTAGTAGTAGTAGTAGTAGTAGTAGTAGTAGTAGTAGTACTAGTAGCGTAGTAGTAGTAGTAGTAGTAGTAGTAGTAGTAGTAGTAGTAGTAGTAGTGGAAGAGTAGTAGTAGTAGTAGTAGTAGTAGTAGTAGTAGTGGTAAGAGTGATAATCAAAGAAAAAGTAGTAGTAGTAGTAGTAGTAGTAGTAGTAGTAGTAGTAGTAGTAGTAGTACTAGTAGTAGTAGTAGTCGTAGTCGTAATAATCGTGGTGGTAGTAGTAGTAGTAGTAGTAATAGTAGTAGTAGTAGTAGTTAGTAGTAGTAGTAGTAGTAGTAGTAGTAGCCGTAGTAGTTGTAGTTGTAGTAGTAGTAGTAGTAGTAGTAGAACTAGTAGTGGCAGTACGTTTACGAACAGCGATGATAGAAATAGTAGTAGTAGTAGTAGTAGTAGTAGTAGTAGTAGTAGTAGTAGTAGTAGTAATAGTAGTAGTACTAATACAAGTGGTGGTAGTAAAAATAGTAGTAATAGAAGTAGTAGTAGTAGAAGTAGTAGTAGTGGTAGTAGTAGTAGTATCAGTAGTAGTAGTAGTAGTAGTAGTAGTAATAATAGTAGTAGTAGTAGTAGTGGCAGTAGTAGTAGTAGTGGCAGTAGTAGTAGTAGTAGTAGTAGTAGTAGTAGTAATAGTCGTAATAGCCGTAGTAGTGTTAGTGGTATCAGTTGTCGTAGTAATAGTCGCAGTAGCAGTAGCAGTAGTAGTAGTAGTAGTAGTAGTAGTAGCAGTAGTAATGGTAGTAGTAGTAGTACTCGTCGTCGTCGTAATAAGAGTAGTGGTAGTCGGGTCACACGTGCTCGTCGTGTCTGGCCACACACCACCTTCGTACACTCTAGATTGTGAAGTGGCAATACTGGATCCATTTAGGATTTAAGTTCAAGAGGACGCCAATGTTGTATTCCACCTTCGTGTCGGTTACAGCCCACCCAAGCTTCGCGCACGACTAAGTATTAGGCACCTTCGTGTAGACTGCGAAATGTAATGTACTCCTCTTGTATTCGGATTCTAGTGTATCCCTATTGCATTCGAGTTAGTATGCATCCTTAGTGTATGCGGATTATGTCGGTTTCCTATTGTATTCGGATTATACTGTCTTCCCATTGGGTTCGAATTCTAGTATGTTCGAATTATGTTGCGTTCATGTTGTTTTCGGGTTCGATGAACCCCTATCGTATTCGAATTCCACTGCGTACCTATTGCGATCGAATTGAATGGTATTCCGGTTCTACTCGAGTTCAAATCAATTCCGACCGTATTGGATTCTAGTTCTATTGGAATTCAAGTATGTTCCTATTGTATTCGAATTCTATTGCAATGCCATTGTGTTCAAATTCTGCTGGGCCTTTGTGTAGTAAAACATTGACCGAATCCCTACCGCATTCGAATGCGGTTGAACTCCTAATGTGTCCAAATTCGACTGTATTCCTATTGCATCCAGATCAGATTGTATTCCTATGGCTGCCGGGTTCTAATGTATGATTATTAGGTTCGAAATCTAGTGTGTTCGTACTCTGTGTCCCTCAATAATTCTGGGGGTACCTGTAGTCCGGGGGGGGGTACCTAAGTCCGGGGGGGGGGTACTTGTAGTCCAGGGGGGGGTACCTGTAGTCCGGGGGGGGCCACTTGTAGTCAGGGGGGGGTACCTGTAGTCCGGGGGGGGTACCATGGGGGTACTTGTAGTCCGGGAGAGGGGGGGGGGGCATACTATGGTCATGCCTCAAAGCACGCGTGGTTCCACGCACGCGGGTGTTTAGTACTTACGCGCGCCGGACCTCTCTTCCTGTCATTCCGACAATCATTGTGTGTCTGTTGTGTTTCTCTTCCTATCTCTCTCTCTCTCTTTGTTCGTCCGTTCCCCTGCTTATTTTTCTGTTTCTTTGTAGATGTATCGTTCCGTTCCTCGTTATCTTCTCGTTTCCGTGCCCACTCGTCCGTCGAGAGCGCGCAGCCCCGACCGCTGGCCCAACGATGGCGAATTTCTTAGCACGCCTAAGTGAAAATGTGCGGACGCATCTTGGCGGGCCGCTTTGGCTTCCGGAGACTACGTAGCGAATGCGGGGGGGCTTGTAGTTCCGGGGGCTAGGGGGGTACCTGTAATCCGGGGGGGGGTACCTATAGTCCGGGGGGGGGTACTTGTAGTCCGGGGGGGGTACCTGTAGTCCGGGGGGGGGTACCTGTAGTCGGGGGGGGGGGTACCTGTGATCCGGGGGAAGGGTACTTGTAGTCCGGGAGGTACCTGTAGTCCGGGGCCCCAAAACTATTGAGGGACACAGAGTATCGTGTTCGAACACTACTGTGTTCCCATAAGATTGCGATACGGAAATATTCCTATTGAGTTCCAATCCTGTTGTATTACGATTGTAAGCGAATTCTGTTTTATCCCCCAGTTCCTTGAGTGGGTATTCGTTTTGAATAAAGCATTGCTCGCGTGTCCATCCTCCCGCTTCCCGCTTCCTATCTCCCGCGAGACCTCGCCGTCCCTGGGCTGCGATCTGCGAAACGATCGCCACTTTCGAGGGCTACGGGTGACTTCAGCGAAGTGAGGCACCGCGCAGACCTGAAGTACCCCTCGCCGCTCCTGCGGGGCTGCGATCTGCGACCGTGGGGGGCTCCGATCTGCGACACTGTCGCCGCTCTCGAAAGTTGTTGGTGGGTTCAGCGGAGTGAAGCACCACGCACACATGGGGTAGACCTCGCCGTTTTTTGGGGGCTGCGATTTGCGAAACCTTCGCCACGTTCGAGGACCGCGGGTGGCTCTAGCGGAGTGGGGCACCGCGCAGACCTGAGATACCTCGCCGTCCCTGGGGGGCTGCGATCTGCGAAACCGTCGCCGCTTTCGAGGGCTGCTGGTGGGTCCAGCGGAAGGAGGCACCGCGCAGACCTGAGATACCTCGCCGTCCCTGGGGGGCTGCGATCTGCGAAACCGTCGCCGCTTTCGAAAATGTTTGGTGGGTCCAGCAGAGTGAAGCGCCGCGCAGACCTGAGGTAGACCTCGCCGTCCCTGGGGGGCTGCGATCTGCGAAACCGTCGCCACTTTCGAAGGCTGCCGGTAGGTCCAGCGGAGTGAAGCACCACGCAGATCTGAGGTAGACCTCGCCGTCCCTGGGGGGCTCCGATATGCGACACGGTCGCTTCTTTCGAAGGGTGCTGGTGACTCCAGCGGAGTGAGGCGCCGCGCAGACCTGAGGTAGACCTCGCCGTCCCTGGGGGGCTGCGATCCCTGGGGGGTTGCGATCTGCGACACGGTCGCCTTTTTCGAGGGCTGCTGGTGGGTCCAACGGACTGAGGCACCGCGCATGCGTCGGCGCGTGGGAGTTTGGGCTCGAGGGAGCCATGTTATGTCTTTGCTGCCCCGTTGACGTTTCAAACCCGTGGCCCGCTTTTTCCGTTCGGACCTTGCCTGAGCGACTCAGGGGTTCACTTAGATACTCATCATCTACCGCGCCGCTTCCCTGAATAATCGGGGACCTGCGAAGCTCCCGGTTGCCGCTCGCAAAAGCAGATGCGTCCATGTCACGTTGTCGCCCTCCCACCAGATCTTCCAAGCTACTCCTGCCTTGCATTGCGCAGGGGTTGGGTACGGTGCCAGGGTCGTTCCCGTTGTTTCCGGCTGCTAACGTATTTCTCCAAATCGGCTTGCCCTGAAGGGCCCCCGGCTCATTATAAAAAAATGGTATTCAAGCCCCCCCCCCCTTTTCCAATGGCACCCCCTTTTTTCCAATGCCCCCCCCTTTTTCCAATGACGTTTGCTTGATTGTTCTTGCGTGCTTGCTCTCGCTTGCTTGCTCTTGCTTGCCCTTGCTTGCTTGCGCTTGATCCCTGGCTCTTGCTTGCTTGTCATTGCTCGCTTGCGTTTGCTTGCTTCCGCTTGCTCGCTTGCGCTTGCTTGATGTTGCCCCCCCCGTCCCCCCCCGACCCGTTCCCGTCCTCCTTTAGTTCTCCTCCGATCCTCCTCTCGTCCGCATCCTGTCCTCCTATCGATGAAGAAAAAACGCTGGCTGGTATCTCGATTGGATTCGAATTCTATTGCGCCCCCGAATCCGGAGCCGAACCCGGACCCTCATCCATGCACTCTGAGACGACACGAAGGCACGGTGTGACCCTGGTAGCAGGAGTACCCGTAATAGTAAGACTACGAATAGTCGTAGTCGCAGACTTCATACACATAGTCGGGGCAGTAGTCGTAGTAGTAGTAGTAGTAGTAGTAGTAGTCATAGTAACAGCAGTCAAGCAGTAACGGTAAGACGAATGCGACTTCCAATCAATGCAGGAGCAGGGCCGGCAAAAAAATAGTAGTCGTAGTAGTAGTAGTAGTAGTAGTAGTAGTAGTAGTAGTCGTAATAGTAACCGCAATCGCAGTGTAACTAGTTGCCGTAGTCACAATAAGAAGAATAGCCACAATCGCAGCAACAGTAATAGTCGTAGTAAGAACAGGAGTCGTGGTAGTGGTAGTGGTCGCATTCGTAGTCGTAGCAGCACTCGTAAGAGCAGTATTGGTAATAGTGGTAGTCGTGGTGGTAGCAGTAGGACTAGTAGTAGTAGTAGTAGTAGTCGTAGTAGTAGTAGTAATAGTAGTAGAAGTACTGGTGGAAGTGGTACGTATGGTTGATAGCATGATAATACAAGCGGCAGTCGCAGTCGGAGTGGCGGTCGTCGTGGTAGTAGTCGTAGTGGTAACAATACTCGTATTCGTAGTCGTAATCGTAGTAGTAGGTAGTAGTAGTAGTAGTAGTAGTAGTAGTAGTAGTAGTAGTAGTAGTAGTAGTAGTAGTAGTAGTAGTAGTAGTAGTAGTAGTAGTAGTAGTAGTAGTAGTAGTAGTAGTAGTAGTAGTAGTAGTAGTAGTAGTAGTAGTAGTAGTAGTAGTAGTAGTAGTAGTAGTAGTAGTAGTAGTAGTAGTAGTAGTAGTAGTAGTAGTAGTAGTAGAAGGAGTAGTAGTAGTAGTAGTAGTATTACTAGTCGCATCATCAGTCGTAGTCGTAGTGGTGGTCGTAGTCGCAATATGCGAAGAATCGTATCAGCGGCGGTCGTAATCGCAATGGAAGTGGTAGAAATAGAAGAAAGAGTCGTCGTAGTAGCAGCAGCAGCGGGCATGGTGATAGTGTGATGGTAGCCGTAGTCGTAATCGTAGCACGAGTAGCAGTAGTAGACGTAATCGGAATGGTAATCCTAGTAGTAGTAGTAGTAGTAGAGAGTAGTAGTAGTAGTAGCAGTCGTAGTAGTAGTAGTAGTAGTAGTAGTAGTCGTAGTCGTAGTCGTAGTAGTAGTAGTAGTAGTAGTAGTAGTAGTAGTAGTAGAAGTAGTAGTAGTAGTAGTAGTTAGTTAGTAGTAGTAGTAGTAATAGTAGGTAGTAGTAGTAGTAGCAGTAGTAGTAGTAGTAGTCGCAGTAGTAGTAGTAGTAGTAGTAGTAGTAGTAGTAGTAGTAGTAGTAGTAGTAGTAGTAGTAGTAGTAGTAGTCGTAGTAATAATAATAATAATTCTTCACGCGCGCACAGACGCCCTGCCCCAGGGAGGGCGCCAGCCCCCCCAGGTTCGGCAGGGCCGACGGCCCCAAAGGGCCAGGGCAGCAGCGGCCGCCCCAAAACCGATGCCCAACGAGGCTAGGCAGCAGAAGGCCGCCCCAGAACCGCGGCCCAAGGAAACCGAGAACCCGGCAAGGTAGGCACCCCCCAGGGCCCGTGGCCCCATTCGGGCCTGAGGACTGACGAAGGCGCCCCATCGGCAGCCCCTACCTCGATCTCGCCGACGGCCAAGCGGATCATCTCGGCGACTTCCTCGCCGGCGAGCTTCATCTCTTGGTCGATCGCGCCGTTGCCGTCCGCGTCGCCCGAGCCGACGGATGGGCCTGACCAGGCCGCGATCTCCCCGACAACCCAGGCCTTGAAGCCGTCGTCATCCATCTCGCCGCTGGTGACCAGTCCGAGCATCTCGCGGGGGCTCGCCAAGACCATCTCGCGGGTCGCCGCGCCCCTCGCACTCTCCTTCCCCTTTGCCGCCAGCTGTGGACTGCCAGACACCGCCTGCGGCCCGACCGCGCCGGCCGCAGCGCCGCGGGCGCCCGGTGACCTTTCAGGCCCCGCAGCAGCACCGAAAAGGTCACCTGCCGCAGTGCCGATGGCCGCGACCCCCCCGCAGGTCACAGCGTCCACCGGCGCGCTCTCCTTCTCCTCCACCACCGCCGTCATGGGGCCGCAAACCTCCGTCTGCAGCTCGACCACGCCGACGACCGTGTCCGTGCGCAGTCGCCTGGCCGCCGCGGCCTGCTGCTCCCGCAAGTAGCAGCCCCCGTTCTCCCTGAAGAGCGCCCCCCTCGCCTTCTCCTCCTGCGCCGTCGGCTGACAGGCCGCCTCCACCCGCAACTGCGGGAACGGCGGGATGTCCGCCAATTGCTTGACTTCGTTGTGCTGGAACTCCGTCTCGTACTCGCCGTGGTGCCAGTAGAACAGCTCGTCCAGCGGGCTGCTCATGGTCTCTGGCTCCGTGTTGTCGCCAATCGCGAAACACTCGGGAGCCTGCCAGCCCTGGTGCCTGATAAGCTGCAGCACGCCATGCGCCGTCCTCTAGTCCACCACGCGCGCGGACCCAGGGCGACGTTTCCGCTTTTTTGTTATTATTTTCCTTCTTGTTCTTCTTCACCTTCTGCCACTCCTGCTCGGTTCTGTGCTCCGCCGCGTGGTTCTGCGGCCTCGCGCCCACCCAGGCACCTGGCGGGGCGCTGCTCCAGCCCGCTGCCGCCGAGGCTGCCGACGCCGAGGCCATCATCCTCGGTGAGCGCGCCGCCGAATTAGAGCTGGAGCGCGAGCGCGCGGGCCTGGCCGTCTACCTTGCCGCCATCCAGCGCGTCCAGTTCGTGTCCACCGTCACGAACTTGCTCGGCGCCTTCGCGGTCGTGCCCGCAGCGCCTCCGGTGGTGGAGCGCGTAGGAGAAGGGGGCAACGTCGTCCTCGCCGTCGTCGGCCTCGGTGGCCATGCCCAGGAGGGCCCTCGATGTGGCCGTCCTCCAGCGCCAGAAGGGCCTGGGGCTGGGGCTGGGGCGAGGGAGCCCTGCCCGGCCTGACCAAGGGCCGCGCCTTCGCGGGGATGCCCGCCAGCCGCCTGCTGCTGCGGCTCGGGCCTCCCGCCGCCTGCATGGCGCCCTGCACCGCCGCGCGCACCACCGCGGTCGCGAAGTCCTAGTGCTCGGGCGCCTCGACCGACCGCCAGGGCACGGCTGCGCGCCATGGCGTGGCCCGCCGCACGAGGAGCAGCAGGAAGAACAGCTGCAGGAGGAGCAGCTGGAGGAGCAACAAGAGGACCAGCAGGATGAATAGCGGGAGAAACCGCAGGAGGACCAGCAGGAAGAGCACGGGAGAAGAAACAACTGTGTAGGACCAGGAGGAACACCCCAGCAGCAGAAGCAGGAGCAGCAGCAGCAGCAGCACGAGCAGCAGCAGCAAGGGCAGCAACAGCAGCAGCAAAAGCACCACCAGCAGCAACAACACCGCATCCCCAGCGTTCCTGACATTTTGGGCGCACTGAATGCCTGCGAGCGCCACAACATGCTTGCGAACACCACAGAGCCACGCCCGTGAGTATAGCGCCACACCTTAAAGAGAGCCGGCACCACCCGCGCGCACGCTCGCTACCATTACAAGGGCGGGCGGGCGGGGTGGAGCCGTCACGGACATTACGGGTTCAGCTCTCAAAACACACACACACACAGTCTCCGCCCCCAGGAAAGGAACCCGAGGCAAGGGTGGGGTATTGTATTCGGCACGGCGGGCATCGGTAAGCTTTCCTCCCGCGCATGGATCGTCCTGGGGACGCCTCCCCCACGCAGAAGTCCAGGCGGCGCCCGTGGTGCACGACGGAGAGCTGCGCGCCGTAGTGCTCCCCGTCGGCCACGCCCCTGCGGAGCTCCGCCGCGGTGCGGGGCAGCGCAGCCGCGGCGCCCTCGGACTCTGCCATGCCCGTCGACGCCCGCTGGCTGACGGGGCGGATCTGGAAGCGCCGCCGCGAGCCGAGGCGGCCACGGGCGAGAGCCATGCCGCGAGCCCCAAGCGGCTGCGAACGGAGGTCGACGCGACGAGGCGGGCGACAAGGATGAGGAGGGAGGATGGAAGGATGGATGAAGGAAAGGTGGGAGGAGAGTGAGGAGAGAAAGAGAGAGAGAGAGAACAAACAAAAAATCATAGCCAGAGTGCAGTATCCCCAAACAGGGTTTTTGAATCCACTGCGGTGTCCAAGGTCGATTGCTTGCCCGTCCAGTGCGGGCTGGCATGGCATGTTAGAACATGCCTCCTCCTCCTCCTCCTCCTCCTCTTCCTCCTCCTCCACCTCCTATTCATCCCGAACGGCATCTCGGAGCCCAGAGTTGCGACGATGTCTCGGGCGAAACGTGCTGCGAGGAAGTCTCAGGCGAAACGGGCCGGACCACCTCGAGCGCGGCGTCTCAGAGCTCCGAGTTGCGGGGGCCTCCTGGGGCCTCCTGGGGCCCCCTGGGGACCTCCTGGGGCTTCCTCCTGGGCCTCATGTGGCTTCCTGGACCCCACCTGGGGCTTCCTGAAGCCTCTTGGGGCTCCCAGGGGGGGGATGTCTGACATGTGGCCGTCTGGGCCCCCCCAAATTGGGGGGGGGGGCACAAGAGCAGGAAAAATCAACGAATCGACATCGGATGTGTATTGACTTGACACGTTCTGATATGGGGCCTCCTGGAGCCTCCTGGCAGCCTCCTGGGAATCTCCTGGGGACCCCTGGGGCCTGTCCTGGGCGTCCTGCGGCCTCCTGAAGCTCTCTGGGGCCTCCTGGGGCTCCTAGGGTCCCAGGGGGAATATGTAACATGTGTTCTTCTGGGCCCCCAGGCTGCACCACTTCTTGCGCGGCATCTGGGAGCTCAGAGTGGCGAGAATGTCTTATGCAAAACTGGCCGCACCACCTTGCGCACGGCATCTCAGAGCTCAGAGTTGCGAAGATGTCTCAGGCGAGACGGGCTGGACCACGTCGCGCGCGGCATCTCCAAGGTCAGAGTTGCGAGGATGTCTCAGGCGAAATGGGCTGGACCACCTCTTGCGCGGCAGCTCAGAGCTCAGAGTTTGGAGGATGTCTCAGGCGAAACGGGCCAGACCACCTCGCGCGCGGCATCTCAGAGCTCAGAGTTTCGAGGACGTCTCATACGAAACGGGCCAGACCACCTCTCGCGCGGCATTTCGGAATGCAAGAGTGCGTCGATGTCTCAAGTGACACGGGCCGGACGCCGGACCACCTCTCGCGCGGCATCAGAGAGCGCAGAATTGGAACGATGTCTCAGGCAAACAAGCTGGACCACCTCGCGCACGTCATATCAGGGCTTAGAGTTTGGAGGATGTCTCAGGCGAAACTGGCCAGACCACCTCTCGCGCGGCATCTGGGAGCTTAGAGTTTCGAGGATACCTCAGGCGAAATGGGCTGGACCACCTCTTGCGCGGCATCTCAGAATTCAGAGTTGCGAGGATGTCTCAGGCGAAACGCGCCGGACCACCTCGCGCACGGCATCTCAGAGCTCAGAGTTTGGAGGATGTCTTAAGCGATACGGGCCAGACCACCTCTCGCGCGGCATCTGGGAGCTCAGAGTTTCGAGGATGTCTCAGGCGAAACTGGCCGGACCGCCTCTCGCGCGGCATCTGGGAGCTCAGAGTTTCGAGGATGTCTCAGGCGAAACGGGCCGGACCACCTCTTGCGCGGCATCTGGGAACTCTGAGTTTGGAGGATGTCTCACGCAAAACGCCCAATCTTGGACAATTCAGAAACGAGAGTTGCGAGGATGTGTAAGGCGAAACGGCCTGGACCACCACATTTTATTGAGGACGTCTCTGCTTTGAATTCCCTCAGCCGGAGTTAGCTTCTATCACAACAGCACCCCGTTCAGCAAGCTGTTCGGCGAAACACTGACGACGAACGGGAGAAGGACGACGACGAGGACGAGGACGAGGGGTGAGACGGGGAGGGCGAGGAGCAGGAGACAGAGGGGGAGGACGAGGATCGGAGGTGGATGATGACTACGACGAAGGTGATGGTGATGACGATGGGGAACGAACGAGAAGAGGCAGCAAGGAATAATCAGAATCAGGCGCCTGGGAGGACAGGAGACGAAGCCTCAGTCACGGAGCACACCCTTTGCGGTGGCCATTTCTCAGGGTTGCTTCGAGCACGTCCCCTTCCAGCACGGAGACGCCTGGCAGCACGAGGACGCCTGCCTTGTCCCCACGTCAGCTTGAGCCCCCGCGCCAGAAGCAAACTCGAAGGGTGAAAGCGGTGTCGTTGCAACAGCCACTCACCGACGCACTCTCGTTATGGGTCGAGGCGGCCAGCTGGGCACTATCCGGAGGAGCCGTAGCAGTCGCGCCTGCCCATCGACTCTGGCTCATCTCCTCCTCCTCATCTTCCTTCGGGGGCGGACAAACCTCCCTTTAATAAACCTCCCCTTAGTGAAAACGGCCTAGGGCCGAAACCGACGGACCTGGACCCGCAAAAATGACTGCCGCGACGCCCTCTCGCGAACCGAAAACGGCAAATTCCTTAATCGAAGTGTCAGGGTAAGAGGTCTATCAACCTCCGACTTCTCACCCTCCCCTTCCCCGCATGGCGACCAAGCGATACAAAACAGATCGGGCAGGGACGGTCCACTAACAATTATTCCTCGCCTGGGTGATCGCTGGCTGCGGCCCGGCGGCCTCGTTGGCGACGACCACGACGCATTGGGAACATCGTTAAGATCACCCACCTCCTGGTGAGCGTTTTCTCATTCGCCGCTTCGACATTGGGCGGAAGGGGTGGAAGGGGGGGGTCTGGCTCTGGACCTCTGCTTAGTGCGACTGCTTGCAGCAGTGCGTCCGATGGGGGAGACTCCGCCTGCTCGAAAGCGGGCGCCAAAAATAGCCAAGACCTACTCCATGGGGGGGAGGGGGCGAGGGCCCGCGCCGATCGGCAACAAAAAAGGAATCAAAAAAACACCTCCTGGTGGGGCGCTGCTCGGCTGCTCTCGGGCCCTCGCGGGCAGCGGCCACCCCCTGGGCGGGGCGTGAGCCTGCGAAAGCCTGCAGCACCGGCACGCCCGTGAGCCGCACCGCACGCCCTCGGGCACCCACCTGCTGGCCATCGCTCGGACGTCCATCCCCTGTGCATTCTTCGGCTCCGTGCGTGGCTGCTTCGCAGGAGGATCCAGCATGCTCCTCACTCATCCCCGCCGAGAAAAAAGTGCACACGTCCGAGCGATAGCAAGGGGGTGTAGGGGGGGGGGGGGAGGGCAAACCCCTCCCCCCCCCCATGTACGATCGTCACCGTTGCCCAGGGGGAGAGGGGCGGTTTGGCCCAGGTGACGACCGTTGCGCGCCAGAGGACAAGAATAGGCAGCACCCTCTCCGCTCCGCGTCACCCCGCCACTCTCGCGTGGCCAGCGATCTCTGGGCCCGCGAGCGGCGCGCGCGGCGGAGCGGCCTGAAACCCCTGGCGCGCGGGAAAACCTGGCGGCGCGCAGAGGGGGGTAGGGGGAGGGGGGAAGGCTTCTTAGAAGCACCCCTGCTTCTCAGAAGGCGCGGGCCTTCTCTGTAGACGTAAGGCCGAGGCCTTCTAAGAAGCAGGGTGCTTCTAAGAAGCCTTCCCCCCCCCCCCCCCTACCCCCTTTTGCGCGCCGCCAAAAAACCCGGTCCCCCCGACCACGCCCGCGAGACCATGACTGGAGACGCACCGGGCGTGTCCAAACCTGGAGCTCTCTCTCTCTCTCTCTCGGGACATCCTCGCAAGATCGCCCCCTGGGGAGGGGCCACGTGCACTCTCGGGGATGGACAGAACCCCCTGTAGCAAAACGTGGTTTAGTGAAAACGACCTCGGGCCCAAACCTGGCGGGCGCAAGCGCGGGAAAATAACGGTCGCGGCGCCCTCTCGATAACCGAAAACGGACAATTCACTCATCGACGTGCCGGGGTGGGGGTTCTGTCCACCCCCGACAGTCCTTATCTATCCAGAAACTTCTGATCAACCGCAGATAAGCCGGCCGGTTTGGCGTCTTCACTGTGTAGCCGCCCGAGCGGCGCTCGTTGGCGCACCCCATGGGAGGCGGCGAAAGACTGGAGGAGAAACAGAAGGCACGCGTCCGCTAGTGGCACGAACCTTACAATGAAGCCAGGATGAAGACAAATTCGGACGAGGACACATCGGGAAACTCTGGACCGGGCGCCGCGGCCGACCCCGAGCGAGCCAGAACGCCCCGATGGCGTTTCGGAGCGCTCCGGAGCAGATGATCCCCACCCTGGCCATCGCTCGGACGTCCATTCCCTGTGTCTTTTTCGGTTTCGTGCGTGGTTTTTTCGCCAAATGATCAGAAATGCTCCTCGATGGCCCTCGCCGAAGGAAAAATGCACACGTCCGAGCGATGCCAAGCACCCCGGGCATGCCCGACACCTGCCGTGACCAGACGGGAGCAGCAGGCGGGGAGCCGACCGAGGCCGCTGTTTATCGCGCGGTGCGCGGGGAGAGAGAGGGCGCCGAGACGGTGAGGCGCCCCCTCGCCTGGACCTACGACACAGAGGGGGGGCACAGCGGGCACAGGGAGAGGTGGGGAGCGCGCCGAGGGAGCACGGCGAAGGCCGCTCCTCCTCCGCCTCCTCCTCCTCCTCCTTCCTGGCCAGCTCGGGGGCCCCAGAGGGGGGGGGGCGGGCCTCTCGCGACACGAGGCGGGGCGAGAAGTCAGCGTCGGGGGGGGGGGGAAGGGATACAGTCGGGGCGTTGACCTAAGGAACCCAGGAACGAGGCCCCTTTTTTCCATAAGTTCACCTTCGATTCCCCGTCGGAAACACAAGGAAAACCTGAAGCAAGCTGTGAAACACTTAAGGAACGCGGAGCCCCTCCCCAACGAAAAGGGTTCCTTCTCCAGGGCCCCGACTGAAGCCGTCCTGGACCTGGGGCACCAGATCAGATCGGAATCCGCGTTGGGT